CTCACAGTCCGCCCTGAAGACCAGAACGGCGCGGGAACCCAGCGAGAGGAACACGCGGAGCAAAGGTAAGTGAATTCACACAATATGGGGAATGAATTACTATAGGGGGGATGAATTACTATAGGGGGGATGAATTACTATAGGGGGGATGAATTACTATATGGGGGATGAATTACTATAGGGGGGATGAATTACTATAGGGGGGATGAATTACTATGGGGGATGAATTACTACGGGGGATGAATTACTATATGGGGGATGAATTACTATATGGGGGATGAATTACTATAGGGGGGATGAATTACTATAGGGGGGATGAATTACTATGGGGGATGAATTACTATATGGGGGATGAATTACTATATGGGGGATGTATTTTCAGTTTTAAAAATGTTTCTCTCAAAATAAATTTCAATCGTGGTTTTGGCGAGATTTGGCTCAGTCGAAAAAAAAGGTTGCCCACCACTGACCTAAGGCTATGATTGTGATTATGACGATACACTGTGGCCCTGATTAACCCTTTGCTTACTGGGCCCTTAAACCCCCTTCATGACCAGAGCGTTTTTTGCAATATATGCAGTGTCGGATTTGTTTTAAATGTTGCAATGGTTTTGCGGCTCCCAGTCTTTTTTTCCCTCTCGGAAACGGGTCCAAGTGGCTCTTTATGTCTTAAAGGTTGCAGATCCCTGATCTAGGGTATTCCCAGCAGGCCATGAAACAATAAAAAATATATATCAGTATCATTCAAGAAAGTGTTGTAATTCAATAACTGGACACTTTTAAGAAAAACATATTTCTATAAAGTATGTATAAGATGTACGGTAGTGTAGTCATTACAATAATAAGGATAAGGATGTAAGGATAGCCCATAAATAAATCAAATCAGAAATCCATGATTGGTAGTTCTGGGAAAATATTTCCAGTTTTCAGTAAGAACATGAAAAGATCCTTATTTTAACTCTGTTGGATTACATGAAACTGGATGCAGGCAGCCCCACCTATGTTTGAAGTGTGGATACGAGAGGTGAATACCACCCTTCTATACAAAATATTGATCTAGAGTAAAGGGAGCTGAATACAAATGCACTGCACACTTTTCAGATATTTATTTGTAAAAAAGTTTGAAAACCATTTATCGTATTTCTTCCACTTCACAATTATGTGCCATTTATACAAAGGTTTATGAATGATATAATGGTACAATGTTATTTTGCTAAAGTAAAAGATCTTCTGGGCTCAGCTATTAACAAACCTACTCTGTTATGTAATGATTTTTGTATTTCCTTCTATTTTTATTTCAATAAAGTTGTTTTTTTTCAACATGAAAAAGGTTTCACTCTGTTGCAAAATGACTGCAAAATAGTCGATAACAAAGTATAATAACAGTAATAATAATGTAAAACTAATACTACAATACAGTGCAAATAATAAACAATGTGTAAATAATACACATGTAATATTAAGTATTATAATAATAATAATAATAATAATAATAATACAGGCTTGCTGGAGACATTATGACCCTTTGTAGTTAATTTGCTAAAACTGGAGAGTGCAAAATCAGGTGCAACCCTGCATAGAAACCAATCAGCGTCCAGGCTTTATTGTCAAAGTTTAATTGAACAAGTTGAAGTTAGAAGCTGATTAGCTACCATGCACAGTTGTACCAGATTTTGCACTCTCCGGTTTTAGTAAATCAACCCCTTTGAATCACCACAATCTTACCAGTTACTTACAGGAGATATTAAAGATAGGCCGCAGAATCCAGTGTCTCCACAAATGCACACAATGGCATTATTTCAATTGGACATGGGCATGGAGGAATCAGCTTAGTGACAAAGTCTCCAGTACTGCATAGTGGCATCCTATTCCTCTCCCTCACCCTGGCAAATGTAGTTCCTGCTTTCCTCACACAGTCAGAAAAACATATTGGTGGAAAACTATTGTGCATCCTAAAATCTTTCTACCACAGTGGATGCTGTAGTAAACTGATTAGATTGTTAGCTTCCATGAGGGCCATGAATGGTTTGGCATTCTCTGTACCGCGTTGTAGAAAAAGTGTCATCTCTACATAATTAAAAATTTTAAAATAATGTGTTCAATCAGCACACAACAACAGGTTACAAGTAGAATAAAACAGAAGCACTAGCGAACTTCTAGGCACCTCAAACCGTACAATGGGAAAAATAATTATTTTATCCCTTGCAGGTTTTGTAAGTTTGCTCACTTACAAAGAAATGAAGGGCCTATAATTTTATCATAGATGTATTTTAAACCAACCAAAAATCCAAAAAAACCACATGATGCAAATGTTATAAATTGAGTTGTAGTTCAGTGAGTAAAATAAGTATTTGATCCCCAAGCAAAACATGACTTGGTTTTTGATGGAGAAACCCTTGTTGGCAAGGACAGAGGTAAGACGTTTCTTGTAGTTGGTTACCAGGCTTGCACACATCTCAGGAGGGATATTGGTCTTCTTTACAGATCTCTAAATCCTTAACGTTTCTTGGCTGTCTCTTGACAAGTCGACGTTTCGGCTCCCTTCATAAATTTTCTATAGGATTAAGGTCTGGAGACTGGCTAGGCCACTCCATGACCTTAATGTGCTTCTTCTTGAGCAACTCCTTTGATACAATGGCAGTATGTTTTGGGCCATTGTCATGCTTGAAGACCCATCCACGACCCATCTTCAATGTTTTGGCTGAGGGAAGAAGGTTCTCATCCAAGATTTTATAAAACATGGCCCCATCCACTTGCCCCTCAATGTGGCAAAGTTGGCCTGTACCTTTAGCAGAGAAACAGCCCCAAAGCATAATGTTTCCACCTACGTGCTTGACTGTAGGGATGGTGTTCTTAGGGTCATTGTCAGCATTTTTCTTCTTCCAAACACGGCGAGTCGAGTTAATCCCAATGAACTCAATTTTGGTCTCATCTAACCACGGCATTTTCTCCCAATCCTTCTCTGAAACATTTATAGGGGCCTGTACATGTGCAGGATTTCAATCCTTGGCAGCTTATTGTGTTACCAATGGATTGTTTGGTGACTGTGGTCCCAACTGCGTTGAGTTCATTCACAAGCTCCTCCCATGTATTTCTGGGCTAGTCCCTCACTTTTCCCATGATCATCCTTACCCCGTACAATCTTGCATGGAGCTCCAGATTCAGAGCGATTGATGGTTATTTTGTATTTCCTCCATTTGCGAATAATTGCTCCAACAGTTGTCTCCTTCTCACCAAGCTTCTTGCTGATGGTCTTGTAGCCCATTCCAGCCTTGTGCAGGTCTACAATCCTGACCCTGATGTTCTTCGGCTCTTTGGTCTTGCCCATGATGGTGCCCAAAAAAAGAGATTCTCTGAACAGGTGTCTTTTATACACATAACGAGTTGTCATTAGGAGCACCTTCTTAAATTGACAGAACTAATCTATGTACCACATGAGCACATAGCCAGACTGTGGGAGCCAGAATTATCGTTGGTTGGTAGGGGATCAAATACGGTACGGTACTTATTTTAGAAGAAGTTTCTTCTTTTTACAGCAATAGTAATAAAAATGTTGTCAAATGTAATTCTTACAATGCCTTGAAAAAGTATTCATACCCCTTGAAATTTGTGGTGTGCATTTGTATTCATCCCCTCTGAGTTCATACTTTGTAGAACCACCTTTCGCTGCAATTACAGCTGCAAGTCTTTTTGGGGATGTCTCTACCAGCTTTGCATATCTAGAGAGTGAAATTTTTGACCATTCTTCTTTGCAAAATAGCTCAAGCTCTGTCAGATTGAATGGAGAACGTCCGTGAACAGCAATTTTCAAGTCTTGCCAAAGATTCTCAGTTGGATTTAGGTCTGGACTTTGATTGGGCCATTCTAACACATGAATATGCTTTGATCTAAACCATTGCATTCTAGCTCTGGCTGTTTGTTTATGTCCTGCTGGAAGGTGAACCTCCGCCCCAGTTTTTTTCAGACTCCAACAGGGTTTCTTCTGAGATTGCATTGTACTTGGCTTCATCCATCTTCCCATCAACTCTGTACAGCTTACCTGTCCTTGCTGAAGAAAAGTATCCCCACAACATGATGCTGCCACCACCATGTTTCATTGTGGGGACAGTGTGTTCAGGGTGATGTGCAGATGTGTTAGTTTTCCGCCACACATAGAATTTTGTTTTTAGGCCAAAAAGTTCTGTTTTGTTCTCATCTGACCAGAGCACGTTCTTCTACATATTTGCTGTGTCCCTCACATGGCTTCTCGCAAATGGGATTTCTTATGACTTTCTTTCAACAGTGGCTTTCTTCTTGCCACTCTTCCATAAAGGCCAGATTTGTGGAGTACACAACTAGTAGTTGTCCTATGGACAGATTCTCCCACCTGAGCTGTGGATCTTTGTAGCTCCTCCAGAGCTACCATGGGCCTCTTGACTGTGTCTTTGATTAATGCTTTCCTTGCCCGGCCTGTCAGTTTAGGTAGATGGCCATGTATTGTTACTTTTGCAGTTGTGCCATACTTTTTCCTTTTTCGGATGATGGATTGAACAGTGCTTCGTGAGATTTTCAAAGCTTGGGCTATTTTTTTAATAACCTAACCCTGCTTTAAACTTATCCACGACTTTATCCCTGACCTGTTTGGTGTGTTCCTTGGCCTTCATGATGCTGTTTGTTCACTAATGTTCTCTAACAAACTTCTGAGGGCTTCACAGAACAGCTGTATTTATACTGAGATTACATTACACACAGGTGGATTCTATTTACTAATTAGGTAACTTCTGAAGGCAATTGGTTCCACTAGATTTTAGTTAGTGGTATCAGAGTAAAGGGGGCTGAATACAAATGCATGCTACACTTCTCAGATATTTATTTGTAAAAAAAATTTGAAAACCATTTATCATCTTCCTTCCACTTCATAATTATGGGCTACTTGGTGTTGGTCTATCACATACAATCCCAATAAAATACATTTACATTTTTGGTTGTAACATGACAAAATTTGGAAAATTTCAAGGGGTATGAATACTTTTTTAAGGCACTGTATTTCCTATGTTGCTTGTAAATATTGTATTTTGTTATTTCAGGCTACAAGAGATCTTATTTGCAGCATAACTGCATCTGATAAAGTCCTAATTGTGGTAAGTATCATTGAGGCATAACAGTGCTCCATTTCTGTGTCAGACAAACTCCCTTTTGGAATAGAATAGGAAGATGCGTGATTGTTTTACTCTGGAAATGTAAATTGTTCAGACACACTATAAAAGCAGGACGCTTGATCCTCAAAAGCCTACCCTTCCCAGGATTTTCTGTGATTGTAATAAAGATACTTTTTTGCATCCATTTGATACATCCTGAACTCTGCTTTGGATTTAGATACCGATCTTTTTGCAGTCTGCCCTTTTCAGCTGCTCCCCCCTTTTTGTATGCTATGTGTTCGGATAATAATCCACACCTATATTTATGGTGAGTCAGAGAAGGTTAATGGGTATTAATACCCTATGATATGGCATTTTCTTTTTTGATCATTGTGAAGTATGTAAGCTGTGTGATGCAACACTGAGCTATTTTGACATGTAGAAAGCAGTGCCTGAATTATGCAGCAACTCAGCTAGAACTGCACTGTGCTCTGCTATATTGCTCAAAATTATTGTATGTAACAATAAATGTATTGCTTAAATTCAATGGTTTGGCATAAATCTGCATCCTTGGAAAGAATCAGTATATGCAGGAAAGGGAGAAGACTAACAGTAACACCAGAATCAGAGTGAATAGTAGTTACATAAAGACAAAATGAATAAAAATGTTAAAGTTTAGCAATGTTAGCTAGCTTGACTAATTTGACTATAACTTTGATTTGCCTACCTAAATAACTCTTACATTTTTAAGAACTCTAAAAGAAAAGTAGGGCTCTTTTTTTCTTATTTATACTTACCATTGGTCCGATGCTGCATCTGTCCCCCACTGGCTCTAAGGGTGAGAACTCAGCTGTCACATGACTGCTGATCGCTGAGTTCTCCTCTCCACTCTGAGCAGAGAGTGGGGCTGTCAGTCACCGCTGTCTATTCGGCCCTCTGAGCTCTGGGCCGTGGAGAGGGAGGAAGTAGCTGGATCAGGCTCTCAGCTCTTTGCTGAGAGGCTAAGCCAAGTTCTGCTCCAGACCCTGGGGTGGATCCCGACTTTGAAGTCAGGATCTTTCCCCAGCTTGGACTGACTCAGTGACGTCAGCCGACAGCGGACTTCAGCCTGCTGTCAGCTGAATACGGGTCACAGGAGTGCAGAATGAACTGCACTCCTGTAATCCACAGGAGAAGTATAACCAAAAAAGCTTTGGCTGTACTTCTCCTTTAAGGATTTCATTTAGTACAATGTTTTAATTAAAACCCTACTTTTTTTTGTACCATAATAAAATAAAATTCAAAAAAGTACATAATTTTAATATATATCTTTTGTATATTTTCTTTTTTTTAGCATTAAAAAAAAAATTCAATACTATAATTGTATCAATTACCGTATTAAACAGAGACATAATGCCATCTACCGTGTGCAGTGGCATGTGCAAACTGAAACCATTTTTATCTAAAGTAAGTCTTCCACTTGTATGTAATCACTATGTCATAGCTGACATAGGGAACAAATGATCAGAAACCACTGTAATTGATTCTGAGTGTTAAAAGGGACAGAAACTGTTAGTGGCAGCTGGGTTAAAACTTTAGCAGGTGCACAAACTGTCCGCTGGAAGCTGTCAAGGACATAATGTTTATTAATGTGCCTTCAGCACAGGACATGTTATATTTATGGGAAGGTGTACTTCTAATTAAAATATATAGGCAAGGAAGGCTTTTGTGCTTTTTTGACTTTTTGAGGATAAAAGTGATATATCACATTAAACCTTTGCTATCTATTCATGCAATGTTCCCTAGGCTCGTGAGTCAGGAGCAGTGCATAGGTATAGTCTACCCAACGTGGCATTAGAACAGAAATATGGACTGAGCTGCCGTGCTTTTCATATGAGTCTGAACTGCAATTCCAGGTGCGTATACTAAACCTGTTTCACATTTCACTTACATTAATGAGGAAGACTAATTTTTTTTTTTTTTCCCAACAGCTGTATGCAGCTTTTTTTTTTTTTTTTTTTTTTTTTTTTTTTTGGGGTCAGTTCAGCTCAGTTCAGATCAATGGAGTCCAGTAGGCAGTATCACCCTCTGGCTTGCTATATCTCTTGGGAATATTATAGTTCCTGGCTTTATCCCTGCCCACCTTTTGAGTTTTAATTGTTTCAGTCTGTTTGGTCTATTCTTCAGAATATAGAATAAAAGAAATGCAACAGCAAGAATAGCACCCCGTGTAAAGGTAGTGGCAGGCCAGTAAGCCTGGAACCTTATGTGCAGAGCTCTTGTCATTGAAGTCTTTTAGGTTGAGCTACTGTCCTTCAGTAGTTCCATTTAGTACTTTATAGAACATACACTCCTTGTTAAAGCTAAAATTCAACTTTTTTTTGCTGGCTTGTAGCCGCTTAAAAGACAAGTTTCAGGTAATTATACTAACTGCAACCTGTATCCCCATTCCTGTACAAGTAGCAAACCTCTTTGAGAATCCTAAGGTCCTAGACCTTCTTGAGAATTGATGGTGACCAGTTTATAGAATGGTCTGGGTGCAAACAGAGACAATCTTCACAAGTCTCTTTCTAGGTTGCATATACCCAGTTGAGTTCTAGCAACCTCAGCAGAATGAAGTAAAAACTTCTAGCTCCTCTTTGCCCATTCACAATGTATAAATACTACACTATTTGGAACTCTCACCCTATTTTCTTATTTTCTTTGTTCCTTTCGAACATCTTCTAGAAACACTAGCTACTTGAAAAATTATGTAATGAAGTTGAAGTATACAGTGAGGAACAGAAGTATTTGAACACCGTGCAATTTTTCAAGTTCTCCCACTTAGAATTCATGGAAGGGTCTGAAATTCACATTGTAGGTGCATTCCCACTCTGAGAGAGAGAATTAAAAAAAAAATTAAGGAAATCACATTGTATGATTTTTAAAGAATTTATTTGTCTTGCACTGCTGAACATAAGTATTTGAACACCTAAGAAACAGCAAGAATTCTGGCTCTCAAAGACCTGTTACTGCTCATTTTAAAAAGTCCACCTCTACTCCACTCATTAATCTAACTTAGTAGCACCTGTCTGAGCTCTTTAAAGACACCTGTCCACCCCACAGTCAGTCAGACGCCAACTACTACCATGGGCAAGACCAAAGAGCTGTCAAAAGACACCAGAGACAAAATTGTGGACCTCCACAAGGCTGGAAAGGGCTACCGGGGAATTGCCAAGCAGCTTGGTGAAAATAGATCAACTGTTGGAGCAATTGTTAGAAAATGGAAGAGGCTAAAGACGACTGTCAGTCTCCCTCAGACTGGGGCTCCATGCAAGATCTCACCTCGTGGGGTATCACTGATGATAAGAAAGGTGAGGAATCAGCCCAGAACTACAAGGGAGGAGCTGGTCAATGACATGAAGAGAGCTGGGACCACAGTTTCAAAGGTCACTGTCGGTAGAGCACTACGCCGACATGGTTTCAAAACAAGCATTGCACGGAAGGTTCCCCTGCTCAAGTCATCACATGTCCAGGCCCGTCTGAAGTTTGCCAATGACCATCTGGATGATCCAGAGAAGGCATGGGAGAAAGTCATGTGGTCAGATGAGACCAAAGTAGAACTTTTTGGTCTAAACTTCACTCGTCGTGTTTGGAAGAAAATAAGGAATGAGTTTGCATCCCAAGAACACCATCCCTACTGTGAAGCATGGGGGTGGTAAAATCATGCTTTGGGGGTGCTTTTCTGCGAAGGGGACAGGCCGACTGCACTGTATTAAGGAGAGGATGAATGGGGCCATTTATTGTGAGATTTTGAGCAACAACCTCCTTCCCTCAGTCAGAGCATTGAAGATGGGTCGTGGCTGGGTCTTCCAACATGACAACGACCCGAAGCACACAGCCAGGATAACCAAGGAGTGGCTCTGTAAGAAGCATATCAAGGTTCTGGAGTGGCCTAGCCAATCTCCAGACCTAAATCCAATAGAACATCTTTGGAGGGAGCTGAAACTCCGTGTTGCTTAGCGACAGCCCCGAAACCTGACAGATCTAATGGAGATCTGTGTGGAGGAGTGGGCCAAAATCCCTGTTGCAGTGTGTGCAAACCTGGTCAAGAACTACAGGAAACGTTTGACCTCTGTAATTGAAAACAAAGGCTTCTGTACCAAATATTAACACTGATTTTCTCAGGTGTTCAAATACTTATGTTCAGCAGTGCAAGACAAATAAATTCTTTAAAAATCGTACAATGTGATTTCCTGAATTTTTTTTTTTAAATTCTGTCTCTCAGAGTGGGAATGCACCTACAATGTGAATTTCAGACCCCTCCATGATCTCTAAGTGGGAGAACTTGCAAAATCGCAGGGTGTTCAAATACTTCTGTTCCTCACTGTACATATGACCTACAGTAAATGACAATCAGCTGAGGCTCCGAAAGAATCCCTTCTCTTTTTAGACAGTTTGACAACATTAAAAAGTAGATAAGGTCTTGCCTGTTTAGGTAATCATGTGAGGTAAGTTTATAAAAATCCACAGGAATAGACAGTATAATGTTCTGGAACATTGTTTGCATTGCACAAAAGTGCTTATATTTATAGCCCAATGTTAGGCAAATTAGGTCATAGTGGAACTAATGTGTCCATATTTAGACCTTACATGGATATAATACATATCATTTATAGCAGTTAAACATGTATTAATGTAGAATTGTTATTTGATGATGATGATGTGATCAGCTGTATAATATAATTGCATTGGCTTGGATTAAGCATATTTGACTGTCTCCCCAGCCGCCTGGCTATAATCGATCTTTCTGGGGTTCTCACATTCCTGGATCTGGAGACCTCTTATGACACAGGGCAGCAGATCATTGGAGAACAACTTAAGTTTGAGCGCAAGGATGTCTGGGACATGAAGTGGGCCAATGACAATCCAGACTTATTTGCAATGATGGAGAAAACTAGGATGTATGTTTTCAGGAACCTGGATCCAGAGGTATATATTTCAATATATATACAAAGGCATACCTCGGTTTATGAACACCTCGGTTAACGTAATTTTCGGTTTACAAATGAAAATCCCTTGAAAATAATGCCTCGGTTTACAATTTTTTTCGCAATATGAAGCGTTTATAGTGCCGGCCCCCGTGCCTTTAAAGTGCACTTTATAAAGCGTTTTGAACAGATAAGACTTTTTTTTTTATTTTTTTCTGATTTTCTGACCTCCGGGAATGGATTAATTGGTTTTCAATGCATTTACAAATTTTTTTTAATCGTATCCCTGTACAGTATTTATGCCTTTAAAGTGCACTTAATAAAGAGTTTTGAACAGATAAAAGACTTTTTTTTTAAAAACTTTTTTTCTGACCTCCGGAACAGATTAATTGGTTTTCAATGCATTCCTATGGGAAACCGCATTTCGGTTTACGAACTTTTCACAATACGAAAGGTCCCACAGAATGCAGAAAATTTGTAAACCGAGGTACGCCTGTATATATTTAAATAGCATTACAAAAACTAGTAATGTCGAACATATTTTGGGAATTTAATATGAAAATAGAGAGCATAAGGACAAAAAAAAATCCTTGGAGTGTTGGGGGAATTAGGAGGAGATATCTTTGCCAAAGCAAGTGGTGGCTGATAAAGAAAGTACTACTGACACAAGGATACATTAGGTTTCACCTATATGTGTTAGACTGCAAGGTAAATAAGGTGGGTGTATTTGGTAACACTTCTCTTTTATTACAGACAGTTATGCAAAAGAGGTTCCAATATCACAAGTTTTCCAATAAAAGGTATTGAGGTAGTCGTGTGCCCTTTAGCTGTACCTGGGTAAAAATCTAAGCTCTAAGCAGGTAGGCTGGGCTCCCAGTAGGCATTTAAGGGCTTAATTTTCAATTATATAATCATTGCCTATTGGATGGATAGGTTGGCTTCTTCTGAAAGTCATACAGCCCACAGACTGACTGACTGACTGTTGTATATTGGTGACTTAGGCTGATATAACTATTACCTCAAACACAAATCAGAAAGCATTAATTATTCTAGTTTTATATAGAATAATGTTAAAAAATGTTTCATTTAAGTTGTTTATTCCAGGAACCCATACAAACATCAGGATATATCTGCAATTTTGAAGATTTGGAAATAAAATCTGTTCTTTTGGATGAATTATTAAAGGTTTGTATTTTGTAATTTAAGGGCACCTCTACCTATGCATGTACCAATATGTATTTATAAAAGTTAAGAGTATTTTAGAAGGGTGATTTTTAAATTTAATATTATATACTGGGAAAATCACATCCTTTATTTTTAGTACCTCCCATGGCTGTAAAGTATTTACAGTGTGAGAGGGCCTGATATTTGTGACGATCACGGCGTCAGACCCCTGCCCTTTTCACCAAACTCGTGACCGAAGGACTAGCCAATCTAAAACCGCAATGTCACGTGCGTAACAATGCCATGCCCAGCTGCACCCTGCACAACGATTTTCCAGCTCACTGGACCATAAATCGATGTACCGGCAGCCTGAGCGCGATTGTTACTGGGTCAGGTTAGTTACGCAATTAACCCTTCACACTGCCACCACCTCCTTTTTGTACAGAGAGGAAACTCGGCAATATCCGCAATAACACTAGGATGATTGGATAAGCGTCTGTATACCACTGTCACCGCAGACAGGTTATACAGAGGGTTAAACACACACAGTAGCGCTCTTCAGCGGCAGGAATTCGTAAGTTGCATTCAAGAGCTTTAGAAACAGTTCAACACTTTCAGAAACAAAGATTTATTACTAAAAGGTCAAAAGGGTGCAATAAAAATATTTACAGAAAAAAGATGTATATGTAAAGATATATGTAACCAATATATATATATACAGAGAGCAATAACACAGCAAAAAGATAACAGAAAGAAGTTTAGGTAGATAAGTACTTGCCAAAAAGCCTTGGGTTAAGCAGCTTCAAGTCTCATGAGCCAAAAAGGATTTCTTGTCTCTACTGCTAGTTTCGATTTTAAAAGCAGGAGACTCTTCTCTTCTCTCACCCACACTCCAAGCATAACAGCCTTTTTCTAGCAAGTCCCAGCAGGGTGTCTCTTTGGAGTAGTAACCAATGGTCTCCTTTTGGGGAGGGGTGTTGGGTGGAGACCTAAGTTACAACCAGAATCTCTTATCTTATAGCTTATATTTTGGATCATAACTTTTTCCTAGGTACATTTGCCGGTATGGGCACTAGTATATTAATACTCAGCCGCATCTGCGGAATGGTTAGAGATGAAACATGAAATATGCACTTGAATGGTTCAAGAGATATACTTTTCTGCTTTTCTATGTATGCCAGCTAAGGGGTGTCACATACCAGGAGAATGGCCTCAAACTGAGCCTTCCGAATATAGGCTCCATGTTTAGGTAGTTATGTCCTACATGAAGATATCAACTTATATGAAAAGTGAGTTTTTAAAAGTAAGTCTGTTTTTACGACCCCTTGGAAGGTCTTTTGAAGTTCAGTGAGGGACTCGGTTTATACTTTTACGATGTGCCAGATTGCACAGTTTCTTAGACAGCTAGACACCCAGCTAGTGAGGTTTTATAGCTCGGAGCTCCCCGCCTGGCCTGTGCTCTGGCCGCCTGTGACCCTTCTCATCACTCAGGACACATGTCACCCCACAGCGAGGAAGGGGGATGAGAGATCTACAAGATGGAGGGGGTAGCCTGCTTTGGGAGTGAGAAAAGGTATAACAGAAAATTCTTAACAAAATGGAGGGCCGCGTCCGTCTGTGTGCACGATTACTACAATATTATTTACATTGATGCCCTTAGGCGTTGAGTGATTGTGGAGCCCACCACAGACTATTCTACTAGTGGTGCTATAATGTACATATAGACACAATAGATTTACACAGCGGTACAGTAATTTTTAACCATTTGAGTACCAGCCTGTATGTTCACTATGTATAGTAGTATAGTAGCCCTCACCACTAGGCCATTTTTCAGTTCTGTGATAGTTTGACTGAAAGTTACTGAGTTATCATTTCTGAAACAGAGATTGGTTAATGATTCATACTCTGAATGGTCTAGGGTTGTTAGTGGTGTACCCCAAGGTTCAGTGCTGGGACCCTTACTTTTTAATATATTTTTAAATGACATAGGGTCTGGGATTAAAAATACCATTTCAGTCTTTGCAGATGACACCAAGCTGTGCAGTGGAATAACGTCCTTACAGGATGTCTCCAACTTACAAGCCAACCTCAGTGCACTGTTTAATTGGGAAACTATAGGGCAAATGAGGTTTAATGTTGATAAATGTAAGTTTATACACTTGGGGTCTAAGAATATGCATGCATCATACATACGAGGGGGGGGGGGGGGGTACAATTGGGGGAATCAATGGTGGAGAAGGATCTAGGAGTTCTGGTAGATCACAAGTTTAATAATGGCATGCAATGCCAAGCTGCGGTTTCTAAAGTGAGCAAAATCCTCTCTTGTATTAAAAGAGGTATAGACTCCAGAAGGAGATATATATAATTTTACCCCTGTGCAAATCATTAGTAAGACTTCATCTGGAATATGCAGTTCAGTTTTGGGCACGAATTCACAATTGAAGAAAGTACAGAGAAGGGCAACCAAACTGATACGAGGCATGGAGGAGATCAGCTATGAGGAAAGATTAGAGGAACTGAATTTATGCTCTTTTGAGAAGAGGAGGTTGAGGAGGGATATGATCAACATGTATAAATACATCAGTGGTTCATATAGGGAACTCGGAGTAGAGCTATTCACTCTGAGGTCATCACAGAGGACAAGGGGGCACTCTTTACGTCTGGAGGAAAAGAAATTTAATCTCCAAATACAGAAAGGTTTCTTCACAGTTAGAGCTGTGAGAATGTGGAATAGACTTCCTCAAGAGTTGGTACTGGCCAGCTCAGTGGATTACTTTAATAAAGGCCTGGGTTCTTTCCAGGGGCAGACTGACAACTCATGGGGCCCCCGGGCAATAGGGGATCATGGGGCCCCTGTGTCCTCGCCCCACACTCAAATCACACCCAAAAAAGCCTATGAAATGTACCAGGGACATCTCATGGGGCCCCCTACTGACCCCAGGCCCTCGGGCAGTGCCCGAGTTCCCCAATGGTCAGTCCGCCCCTGGTCCTTTCCTAGATATACATAATATAATTGGTTACTAAAATTTATAGCTAAAGTTGATCCAGGGAATATCCGATTACCTCTCGGGGGATCAGGGAGGAATTTTTTCCCCTGCAGGAGCAAATTAGATCATGCTTTGCTGTTTTTTTTGCCTTTCTCTGGATCAACTGTGGGTGTAAGGTTATATATATATATATATATATATATATATATATATATATATATATATATATATATATATATATATTATTTATTATTATATATATATATTTTTTTTTTTGTATGGTTGAATTGGATGGACTTTTGTCTTTTTTCAGCCAGACTAACTATGTAAGGTAGTGCAGTAATTTGAAGCAACAAATCTGAACTCCTTTTTCAGTTATCTTATCTCAGTAGAGTGTAAGTTGATTATTGCCATAAGCTACTGTATTTTGCACTTCAGTCTAGATCAGCGGTTCTCAACCTGGGGGTCGCGACCCCTTTGGGGGTCGAACGACCATTTCCCAGGGGTTGCCTAAGACCATCGGAAAACACATATTTCCGATGGTCTTAGGAACCGAGACGCCGCTCCTGTCTCTGGCGATGTGTGGGCGGGATGATATGCTGCCCCTGTCACCGCCTCCTCGCCGCTGATTGGCCACCGGAACTGTAGCTCAGGAGAGGCACACAGGCGGCCAATCACCGGCGAGAAGGTGGAGCTTGGAGAGGAGGAGCCGAGCGGCAGCGTGCGGAGATCGAAGAAGATCGAGGGAGCTGCAGGAACGAGTGAAGAGAGAGGCCAGAGAAGGAAGACAGCTGACAGGTAAGTGCAAATTTTGCTGCTGCAGCCAGGTATGCAGGCTGTAAATGGGAGAGGGAGAGAGCGAGCCCAGGCTGGAGCAGGGGTCAGCAAGGTAAGTATCATTGGTGTCAGTGGGAGGGATAGTGCCCCATCATTTGTGTCACAACGATGGGGCACTATTCCTCCCCCCCTGACAACGATGGGGCACTATTCCTCCCCCCCACTGACACCAACGATGGGGCACTATTCCTCCCCCCACTGACACCAACGATGGGGCACTATTCCTCCCCCCACTGACACCAACGATGGGGCACTATTCCTCCCCCCACTGACACCAACGATGGCACTATTCCTCCCCCCATTGGGGCACTATTCCTCCCCCACACTGACACCAACGATGGGGCACTATTCCTCCCCCCACTGACACCAACGATGGGGCACTATTCCTCCCCCCACTGACACCCCACTATTCCTCCCCCCACTGACACCAACGATGGGGCACTACTATTGGGGCACCTCCCCCCACTGACACCAACGATGGGGCACTATTCCTCCCCCCACTGACACCAACGATGGGGCACCTCCCCCCACTGACACCAACGATGGGGCACTATTCCTCCCCCCACTGACACCAACGATGGGGCACTATTCCTCCCCCCACTGACACCCACTGACAATGGGGCACTATTCCTCCCCCCACTGACACCAACGATGGGGCACTATTCCTCCCCCCACTGACACCAACGATGGGGCACTATTCCTCCCCCCACTGACACCAACGATGGGGATGGGGCACTATTTCCTCCCACTGACACCAATGATGGGGCACTATTTCCTCCCACTGATGGGGATACCAATGATGGGGCACTATTCCTCCCACTGACACCAATGATGGGCACTATTCCTCCCACTGATACCAATGATGGGGCACTATTCCTCCCACTGATACCAATGATGGGACACTATTCATCCCACTGACATCAGTGATGGGGCGCTAGTCCTCCCACTGCAAAATTACAGTTATGAAGTAGCAACGAAAATAATTTTATGGTTGGGGGTCACCACAACATGAGGAACTGTATTAAGGGGTCGCGGCATTAGAAAGGTTGAGAACCACTGGTCTAGATGGTATTGCATTAACTCACTTTTTCAGAGTAGATATGGCCAGTGTCAGGCTCACAGTTGTGAAGGAACTAACATTTACAACATTCCCAGATGGCGAAATCAATTGTGGTGCCTCAGTGGTAGAACATACATTTATGCTCAAAGTGTATGTAAATTATAACAATGGACTTCTATTATTTGCTCCCTTTTGGTCTTTTAAATATACCATTGAAAGACTGACAAAAAACAGTTGATCCTGCCAGAAGTCTTGTGAGGAGATAACTCCCTGCTCTGCTTTTGCTGACTTTTATCAGTTACATTGTTCTAAGCTATTTCTGAAGGCTACAGAGCTCTTCCTTTTTTATGTTATAGAGAAGAGGAAAGGGAGGGTTTTCTCTAGTTTCAAAACACTTCCTATGCTAGGGTGATGTTTGTCACGATCGCGGCGTCAGACCCCAGACCTTCTCACCAAACTCGTGACCGAAGGACTGGCCGATCCAAACCGCGATGTGATGTGCGTAACAACACCACGCCTAGCCGCACCCTGCACAAAGATTTTCCAGCTAATGGACTGCAATCTGTGTACCTGTGACCTGAGCGGTTGTTACTGGATCAGTTTAATTATGCAATTAACCCCTTTTACACTGCCACCACCTCCTTTTTGTACAGAGAAAGGGGAAACTCGCGTTAGTTATAACACTATAATGATTGAAATAATTGTCAGTATAAAACGGTCCGCAAGCCGGTTATACAGAGGTTTAAACCAACAATAGCGTCTCCTCAAAAGGCAGGAATTCATAAATTGCAATTAAGAGCTATAGAAACAGTTCAACACTTTCAGAAAGGAAGATTTATTACTAAAAGGGTCAAACAGGTGCAATAAAAATATGTACAGAGAAGATGTAACTAGGATAAATATATATACATAGAACACAGCACAGCAAAGAGATAACGGAGAAGTTAAAGGGTTAAGTTACTTGCCATTTAAGCCTTGGATGTAAGCGGATCCAAGTTTTTTAGAGCAGAATGGTGCTTTGATCTCCCGCTGTTACTATGGAAAAAAACGGGAGATGTCTCAATTCCCCTTACTTAGGCTGACAGCCTGTTTTAAAGTTTCCCGGAAGGGGGTGGTTCTGAAATAACAAACCAATCCACTGTGCAGGGAGGGGTCGCCAGGCGGGACCCTAAACTGGAGCCAGCATCTTTTCATAATTCATATTCTGTTCCATAATTTCCTATCTGCACAAGCTACAGTCCACCCGTGGGTATTTTATTATGCAGATAAGCCTGAGGATCATATAGATATGAATTATGACGTACGTTACACAGTGTACGAGTTCTATGTTTTGGCTCCCCTGATGGTCTGAGGTGGACGAGTGACCCATCAAAATGTTCGTCTGCTCATTGGCCATCTGACGAGGTGCCCGGTTTTTTATGTAAGTCTTCCCTATTCCAAGATATGAGTTATAGGGGAAAAACTGATTTTACCAGAAGTTATCTGATCCTGTCACCTATGCTGAGCTAGGTTTTATGAGGTTACAATTCTTTCAATTCCTGGGAGAGCTGCCTTATCTCCTTACGAGGTGTGAAATTACACAGGTTCTTCAACAGAGAGACTCTGGCTCTCTGGGAAAAACTGCCCTTATCTTGGCTTCGGTGAGAGAGGCTACAATTTCTTTTTTTTTTTTTTTTCCACAGACCACTCGGCACCGAACTAGGGATGTCTTGGCCTGCCATTGACCCATAACCATTACACACACATCTGGCACTGTGCCTCTCCGGAAGGGAGGGGGAAGGAGAAGGATGAGGGAGAAATGGATAGCCTTAGCAAGATGGAGTCTGAAACCAAAATGGTTGCACCGCGTCATTCTCGGATGCGCGCGTTTGCGACAATGTTGCTTTATCCTGTATAGATATAATACGTAAGTAAGGTAAGAGTTGTCACTGTAGGACAGGAAGTGTGTTAGTGGCATGTTTACCAGGTGGAATTAAAGGAAAACAATCCTGTAAAATAAGAAAACTAATACAGCCATCACAGCTAAGGACTACTAAGCTGTATTATATTACAACCTGTTTTGGGTTTAGATACACTTTCGGTACAGTAACCCTTAGCATCAAAGCAGAATTTGTCTGGTAATGATCTGTCTTCAGCAGAGTGAAATCTATTTTCATGCAATAAGCTACTATATCTAAGAATGATTGCTTTTTTTTTAATAAACCCATCTCTGTTTTGTAGTTCCTTCTCATTTGGTAGGTGGATGTCCATAGCCTAATGCATTGTGGTTATTATGTATCGTTTAATGTCTATGTAAACCCTAACAATTAACTTCTTTTATTAGCTCTCTTCGGTCTAATAAATATGCCATTGAAAGTGTTTTTTTTTATATCCGTTTGAGAAAAGCACATAAATACCTGTTGATTGTCCCAGATTTCTATTCAGCTTCTAACTTGCTGTATTGGGTGGACAACATTGTGCCTTTGCTGCACTGAAATCCCATGGAGTTTTATCAGTTCTTCCCAGGTTACCTCTGTGGATGAGGGAACTCTTCCCCTCAAGGCTGCTTTCACACTGATCAGTTTTTTTCTTCCGTTTTTGCAATAAAAAAGTGAAAGAAAAGGCTTGACCATTAAATTCTATGGAACTCTTCACACTGGCCAGTTGCAAGTCGGTTGAGTTTTTCAAAGTCCTGTTTGCTGCATGTTAGGTGTGGTAAAAAAAATGAACCAAAAATGCACCTCCCATTGAAATGAATGGAAATGTGTCAAAAACACACCTGCGGTTGTGTTTTTGGTTCATTTTTTAAGTCTCATGTCCTTTTTTCACAGGTGAAAAAAGCCCTGGAAACGCAGCAAAAACTTCAACTTTGCAGTGTGAAAGTAGCCTTATGTTATGGAAAAGAAGGAAGGGGGAACTGTTCTGTAGTCCTGCACTAGAATGACAGCACTGCTCCCCATGGATACAGAACAGTGATTGAGTGTGTTACTGGTGGAATCAACAGGTGAAAATAAAGGGAAAAAGCCTGAAAAAAAAATGCAGCCACCACATTCAACATTTTTTGTTCTTCGGTTTAGATAGATATTCAGACTGTTTTTTTCATACCTCTCCAAGCAATGTTTACACGTAGAACACAGTTTGTAAAATTTAAATTTTTGGTTTTCCCATTTAGGATCCTGAACACCCTAACAAGGACTACATTATTAATTTTGAAATCCGGTCATTGCGAGACAGCCGGGCTTTAATTGAGAAGGTTGGCATTGAGGATGCATCCCAGTTTATAGAGGACAACCCTCATCCAAGGCTCTGGTAGATAAGGATGTTAATATTTTTAAATTATCAGCATGGGGTGCATTTTGTAATGCTGGGGCTAGTAATGTTTTTCAAATATATTTAATTACTTATTAGTTTGTTAATTTAGTTTCTACATATTCCACATATGTTTTCAAAGACAATTAATCCCCTGTGTACAGTTACACTATCATGAGACCTAGGAAGTAATCAGGGCTATGGGGCACCACAAGTAAATGCATGTAAACACACCGGAACATACATAAACACAAGTGGGGGAAAAACTGTGGAAAAAAAGAAATAGAATGCATTGCAGACATGTTAAAAATGTGTGTGAACTCGCATGCAGAAACACATTGAAAACACTGGAATTGTTGGGGCACTATTCCTCCTCCTATTGACCACAGGCGTTATATAATTTTGTTTTAGTCCCACTGACCACCAAGCTTGAGGAATTGTTTACCACAGTCTGGACCCCCTAATGCTTGAAGGACAGTAAATTGGCCCTATGTTTATAAAGTGTGGAGATCCTTGTTACAAAGGGAGAAACAAAATGTCTAGAATGTTCTGAGATCAATGTTCTAACCCCCATTCCCTGCACTTCACAACATTATTATTAGGATATGCTTCATTCTTTTTAGTAATGCAGGTTCCATGCCTAAGTAATACAATCCTATATTTACTTTATAACTGCATCAAGAAAATGACAGCTGGGATTTAATTGGCCCTTACAAGCAAGCCTCCACTTTACATTTGCTTGGGTTTTTATAAACCCCCAGGTCAGGAAGACTTGTTTTTGCTTTGGTACCTTTTGAAGTTTGTTCTTCCACTTTCCTGGTAGGGAGTTGCTTTGGGTAATGAAAAACTGAAAGGTGTTTGCTGTACATTAAGTAATTTATGTCATTGTTCTCGGATTAGGCAGATGATTTATGTTGTAATGAGCAGAAAGGGCTGAGAGGGGGTTCATACTGTATGTGTTTACTTCCAGCAGAGCAGTGTGGAATGTCAGATACACTGAGGTCTAGACTGGTGCTGGAATGTCATGTGAAGCCCTAATCATACGCAGCAATGTATTTCATGAAAATAAATACTGCCACAAAGCTGCTTTTTGTTACATGGACACCTTATGTCCAGGTGCTACCCAGGCTATAAAACTATTTCAGCAGTAAATCTATATTTTAGTCCGGAATTTTAGCACTGTTATTAGCAGGGAAAAATAACATTTTTTAACAAGGTATAAACACAGATTTTTTTAAATTTTAATAATTCAGGAGATTTTTCCCCACCAAATAATGTAGCTTTCCTCTGCTCATAAGTGCATGTAGGACCGTTACAAGATGGTATGAGAGGCCAATTTATGAAACGTGGAGCTGTGGCCCATAAGAGATTGCCAGATTCTTTCATTTATATTCAGATAAAATCTGATTGGTGATATGGCCAAATTTACCTTTGCCCCATGGATATCTGGAACGTATATCAAATATTTTAGACATTTTCTTTTCAGGATATGACTGTTTCTTTTTTTAATGCAGTTTACATAAAGGAAACAGGGTTCTACAGACTTTCTCGCTGCTAGTTCCAGTACTGTTGACTGGTCCGACGATGCTACTCTTCTTCTCTGCCCGTGTGGCTGCCGTATTTGCCAGTGTCATCATGTACAGTGCAGGACCAGCTTCTTCTCTATTACATTATTATTATACAGGATTTATATAGCGCAAACAGTTTGCTCAGCTCTTTACAAAATGAAGGTAGACATAAAACAGTTACAATACAATTTGGTACAAGAGGAAACAGAGGGCCCTGCTCATTAGAGCTTACAATCTAGGAGATCCCTCTAGACCAGTCTCTCTTGATCAGGTTCTGTGAAACCCTGGGCTTCATTCAGTGGTTGCTAAGGGTTCCTTCAGCAGTGGCAGATTGATTTCCCACATGATAGCTCCAGGGCTGATGCCAATCTGTACAGCCTGCAACTTGGGACCTGTTTGGTCTCTTTGCTGTTGACTCTCAAATATGTAACCACTGACAGCAGTAATCTTTTTATCAGTCCATAAAGGGGAATTCTTAATATTGACCCAAATGTAAGGAGGCACTTTTCATTTAACAACCAAAGAAAGAGAGCATTCTCTCACTGATGATCCTTCTGCCACTGACAAAGGTAAAAGGGCACCTCATGCGGTGATCACACTAATATACTGGGAGTTACAGATATAACATAAGCAGAGGTTCTCCAAGGCCTGAAAATTATTGGAAGGGTTCTTCCAAGTCAATAAGATTGTGAGAGGATGCTCTAGGCTAATTGAGTATTTTTTACAGAGCTCAATAGCCCTAGTTAAAATTTATCCAGGAATTAATAAGTCAAACAAGCGATTTATCCCTTGTCCTATGGCTTGGTCCACAAATTCAGTGAATCAACTATTATCTGTTGTATAGCTTCCTAGTGTTCCTATATTTTTGAATAAAATAACAGTTTTTCATTACTTTGCACTTTATAGGCGCTTACTAGCTGAGGCTGCCCTACAGAAACTGGATCTCCAAACTGCAGAACAAGCATTTGTACGCTGTAAAGACTACCAAGGCATAGAGTTTGTGAAGCGGCTGGGCAATCTACAGAGTGAGCCCATGAAGCAAGCAGAGGTGTCTGCCTATTTTGGCAGGTTTGAGGAAGCAGAGAGGATGTATTTGGATATGGACAGGAGGTGAGATGGAAAAACTGTCTGAAGAAAAAAAAAGGGCATTAGTATGCTACAACAATCTGCTTGTCTTAAAAGAAAAAAAAAATATGGTCCCTCATTGCTAAAGTATTCTCTTATCACATGACCATGCAGGGATATGCATATATCTTGGTCTAAGGATAGAACATAAAAACTTGGCAATCCCACTCATAAAGTGGCACCTTAATAGTGCCATAGATAACATACTAAAAAAATAGAATATTAAACTTGTATATACATATATACTGCACTTACAAATTACTTGTGTGGTAACGTGTAAGTGCAGTATATATGTATACACAAGTTTAATATTCTATTTTATAGTGTGTTATCTATGACACTTTGATTTATAGACTGATCAATTTTTTGTGAGTGGGCAAACATTCAAAATCAACAGGGGATCAAATACTTATTTCCTTCACTGTGTATGTATGTGTGTGTGTGTGTATATATATATATATATATATATATGTGTGTATGCACACACACACACATTATATTGCCAAAAGTATTGGGACACCCCTCCAAATCATTCGATTCAGGTGTTCCAATCACCTTCATGGCCATAGATGTATAAAATCAAGCACCTAGGCATGCAGACTGCTTCTACAAACATTTGTGAAAGAATGGGTCGCTCTCAGGAACTCAGTGAATTCAAGCGTGGTACAGTGATAGGTTGCCGTCTGTGCAAAAAGCCCATCTGTTAAATTTCCTTGCTACTAAATATTCCATGGTCAACTGTTAGTGGTATTATAAAGTGGAAGCAACTGGGAACAACAGCAACTCAGCCACGAAGTGGTAGGCCATGTAAAATGATGGAGCGGGGTCAGTGTATGCTGCAATGCACAGTGTGCAGAAGTCGCCAACTGTCTGCAGAGTCAATAGCTAAAGATTTCCAAGCTTTGTGTAGCCTTCAGATTAGCACAACAACAGTGTGTAGAGAGCTTCATGGACGGGTTTCCATGGCCGAGCAGCTGCATCCAAGCCTTACATCACCAACTGCAGTGCAAAGTGTCGGATATAGTGGTGTAAATCATGCCGCCAGTGGACTCTAGAGCAGTGGAGACGTGTTCTCTGGAGTGACAAATCACGCTTCTCTGTCTGGCAATCCAATGGACATGTCTGTGTTTGGCGGTTGCCAGGAGAACGGTACTTGCCTGACTGCATTGTGCCAAGTGTAAAGTTTGGTGAAGGGGGGATTATGGTGTGGGGTTGTTTTTCAGGAGTTGGGCCTCACCCCTTAGTTCTAGTGAAGGGAACTTCTTGAGGCATCAGCATACCAAGACATTTTGGACAATTTCATGCTCCCAACTTTGTGAGAACAGTTTGCGGATGGCCCCTTCCTATACCAACATGACCGCGCATCAGTGCACAAATCAAGGTCCATAAAAACATGGATGAGCGAGTTTGGGGTGGAGGAACTTGACTGCCCTGCACAGAGTCCTGACCTCAACCTGACAGAACACCTTTGGGATGAATTAGAGCGGAGATAGGGAGCCAGGCCTTCTCGTCCAACATCAGTGCCTGACCCCACAAATGCGCTTCTAGAAGAATGGTCAAACATTCCCATAGATACACTCCTAAACCTTGTGGAAAGCCTTCCCAGAAGAGTTAAGTCTGTTATAGCTGCAAAGGGCGGGGCCAACTCAAAATTGAACCCTACGGACTAAGATTGGGATGCCATTAAAGTTCAAGTGTGTGTAAAGGCAGGCGTCCCAATACTTTTGGCAATATAGTGTTTGTGTGTGTGAATGTATGTATGTAGTATGTATATATATATATATATATATATATATATATATATATATATATATATATATATGTGTGTGTGTATATATATATATATTATGTACCTTTTCTATAATAAAAATTATGTATTTTATATGAATCTGTACCAAAAACGTGATAGAAAATGATAGTTCTGCTTGTCACACTCAACTGTCACACAACACAGCTCACCTCTTAGAAATGCCAAAATAACAAGCAAGGAGCATGGATGTCCTCTACCCAAGCCATTCTCTACCTGCACCTTTACCTCATGAGCCTTAGAAATTTTCAGTTGTCATTTTTTTATGTATCGCATATGACTTGCTAAAGCTTTCATACTCTTTACAGAGATCTTGCCATCAGTCTAAGAATAAAGCTGGGTGACTGGTTCAGAGTACTGCAGTTGCTCAGAACAGGGTCCGGGGACTCAGACGATGCTCTGCTAGAACAGGCCTATAACGCCATTGGTGATTACTTTGCAGACAGACAGAAATGGTATGAACGAATACATATAATATTTATATCCTACTTTACAGAACTTTTGTTGTGCTTTATATTCTCCTTTATTGTTGCAGATGTTCATTGTCAGGCACAGTTTAATGATCAATAATTAATCAAGGGTACAATATCATGTTCAAGCATCTAACACAGTGGTTCTTAACCTTGTTGGAGGTACTGAACCCCAGCAGTTTCATATGCGCATTCACCGAACCCTTCTTAATTGGAAAAATAAAATATGATTTTTAAAATTCAAAACATAGGTATATATTTATACATAGGTGCACAAAATGAACAAAACCGTTAAGAACAAAGAACAAAACCATTAAAACATGATTTTCACACAAAAACAAAAACATAATAATGAATATTTACTGCACGAATCATATGAGTCGGGTGTGAGTCTTCACCTCTGCCGAACCCGCGAGACTGACTCACTGAACCCCTGGGTTCGATCGAACCCAGGTTAAGAACCACTGTTTTATAGTAATTCATCCCCCATATAGTAATTCATCCCCCATATAGTAATTCATCCCCCATAGTAATTCATCCCCCATATAGTAATTCATCCCCCATATAGTAATTCATCCCCCATAGTAATACATCCCCCATATAGTAATTCATCCCCCATAGTAATTCATCCCCCATATAGTAATTCATCCCCCATAGTAATTCATCCCCCATAGTAATTCATCCCCCATATAGTAATTCATCCCCCATATAGTAATTCATCCCCCATAGTAATACATCTCCCATATAGTAATTCATCCCCCATATAGTAATTCATCCCCCATATAGTAATTCATCCCCCATAGTAATACATCCCCCATATAGTAATTCATCCCCCATAGTAATTCATCCCCCATATAGTAATTCATCCCCCATATAGTAATTCATCCCCCCTATAGTAATTCATCCCCCATATTAATTCATCCCTTATATAGTAGTAGTAAGTAAGTAGCAAGTAGTAAGCCAAGTCCCCCCTGTGTCAATTCACTTACCTTTGCTCCGCGCGTTCCTCTCGCCGTATTCCCGCGCCGTTCCGGTCTTCAGGGCGGACTGTGAGAGGAGCCTAGCTCCTCTCACGTTCGTCACGCTGCCCCGCCTACACACATCCTGACAGCCAATCACTGGCTATCAGGATGTGAGTGGCAGCGAGACTGGCCAATCATTGCATTTGAGCGCGCTGCCCTGGCTGTTTTTTTTTTTTTGGATCACGCTGCAGAGTCTCTGCGCCCGAGAGGAGGGAGGGGAGCGGGCGCCCGGCACACAAGAGCCGCATTAAAGCGTGTAAAGAGCCGCATGTGGCTCGCGAGCCGTGGCTTGCCGACCACTGGGCTAAGCGATGTTGCGTGATCACCTGCAGCCAATGATGGACAAGCGGGGAATGTCATCACGAATCATATGAGTCGGGTGTGGGTCTTCACCTCCGCCGAACCCGCGAGACTGACTCACCGAACCCCTGGGGTTCGATCGAACCCAGGTTAAGAACCACTGATCTAACATCTCTTGTTATGAATTGCTAAACATAATGGTGCTTATGGATGACCTTCGTATTTCTTATTGAATAATGTATTACATACTGCCCTCTGTTGTGTGTCAGTGTTTTAAGGGAGGACCGGACCCAATGTTAGATACCTAATGTGCATGAGCCCACAGTTGAAACAAGTCCATGTGAAGATGCTTGTGATTAAGGAGTAGCCTATTACTCATCTATGTCAACACAGGGCCCTAGGGTGGGAAAGCAGGAAGCTGGAGTATAAAAAGGAAAATAGGCCTGAAGCTTCAATTGGACTTATGCCTTCTTACTGACCTTTCTCTGTGTGTAGGTTGAACGCAGTACAGTACTATATACAGGGCAGGAATCAGGAACGATTGGCAGAGTGCTACTACATGCTGGAAGATTATGATGGACTTGAGGTTTTGGCTAATTCCTTACCAGAGAACCATAAGTTGCTTCCAGTAAGTATATCATCAAATTGCTGTATTATATATTAAGTACATTGCTACAAAACAAATGAGTACTGTGATTCTTTTTTGTTTGCACTAATATTCAAAATTTCAGGACAAGCTTTATAGGTATACCCCCTTCTTCTAAGTTTCATGCAGTACTGATAAACAAAGCTTTAGCAAAATGTAAAGTAGGACAATATTTGGAAAAAAGCTTCAATCAACATTTATACATTGCTGTATTTTAGAACTGTATGGGGATGTAAATGCATGGGGCCTCAGGATAATTGCATTTATAAAGCCCACAAACCTGGATCATTTAAAGTAAATGGTTTAGGAACAAAGCAAATTGAGTTAACTGTGGCTGTGGGTGGGTGTAATTCAACAGTTTGACAAGTTCCTATGTAAACAACATGCTTTGACATCAGAGAGAGTCATAGACCCTCAATAGAAGCAGTGATTTATATGAAAATTATGGATTACCGTATGTAGTTTGGTTACTATATATCAATGTGATTAGCATCTGTTCCTTATTGTTCCTGTGCAGGACATTGCTCGCATGTTTGTGACAGTAGGGATGTGTGAGCAGGCTGTGGCTGCCTTCCTCAAGTGTAACATGCCAAAAGCTGCTGTAGACGCATGTATGCACCTCAACCAGGTAAGTAGTAGTTATATATTAGTGCACAGATACAGTTTTGAAATATGTTTCTTATTCAGACGCTAAATCTTCATTCTTATCCTCACTATTTAGCTACAGCTGAACTCCAGTCTTCCCTTCAGTCTTGCACATCTGTACTGGCTCCTTTCTGCACTAAAATTGCTTACTCCAATGTCAGTGCACACTGTAGGCTACTCATATGGGGGATTTACTAAAATTGGATCACAGAGCATCTGTTGCAGCTGTACATGGTAACCAGTCAGATTCTAACTTTAGCTTTTTCAATTAAGTTTTGATGATAAAACCTGGAAGCGGATTGGTTACTACAGCTTAACCAGATTCGGTGTTCCAGTTTTATTAAAACCCCCATAGTGTGCATTAGAAGCTACAGCAACTCAGATAAAACTCTTATTTCATGGCTGGTGGATGTCCAGCATCATCTAGCTCTTTGTCCCCAAGCCTTGCTGTCACTGGCCCACCCCTTTTCATTTATTTTATTTTAGTTCTTTCAGCAATAACGGGTCTGCATCACATGTTGGGATTACTTAGTGCAGTCTGCATGCACCTCTCCAAACTGACATTCATTGAGGCATTTTGATATTTATTTTATTATTATTATACAGGATTTATATAGCACCAACAGTTTGCTCAGCGCTTTACAATATAACAGGAGACAATACAGCAACAATACAGTTCAATACAAGAGGGATAGGAGGGCCCTGCTCCTTGGAGCTTACAATCTAAGAATATTTGCATAACCCTTCTCAGTAGCAGGGTGCTGTGATGTTTTCAGGAAGTAATGTATAGCCCCTCACAGCAGCAATAATTTGCCTGCATTGCATAGAGAAGCACAGACACCCAGTGATGATGTCACCAAGTCTAAAATAAGGTAATGAAAACCGGTTTTATTTAAACATTTGATTAGCAGTGTTGAAAAAAGACTACATCTAAGGACTGGTAAAGGCAATATTTAAAATTTTTATTCATGTGTACAGATACACCTTATTACTCTCCTTAGACTAAATATGCTGATTTTAGTTCTATCTCAACACAGTAGATTTCTTAGGGAATGTTATGGAAAATGCAGCATCAAATCCTGTAAATATCCGCATTTATGTTGAGCTTGGCAGGAATAATTGCTAAGAAAATACTTTATTTAGAGTGGAGCTCCAGGCAAACAGCCAAAATACACACATGTACTGTAGGTAGATTGTTTTACCTAACACAGGATTTGTAATTTTGTGATACCACCTCTGATAGTCAGGAGGATCACTCTGCCTACTTTAGCATTGCTAGTTCATGAGACTGCTTAATTGGTTCCTGGGTTGGCTTCTTTCTATTTGAACAGAGGTGATAATGCTAAAGGTGACCTTTAAAGTGAAACGAAATTCTCAGAAATACTCGCCTCCACCTTCCAGCAATACATCCCTCACAGGCCGGTGTCATCTTCTCCCTGGCTGATTACGGGTGCCAGGATTTTGGCCTCTTGATTGGCCAGTAGTAGAATGGTATCTTCCCATACATGTGCAAAGGAGTGAGTCATTCTGGCACAACTGGAGTGTGCTGGGAATGTATGCTGCATGCGCAGCTCAGTGTGCGTTCAGTAGAAGACTGCGAACAGGAAGGTAAGTGTTTGTTATTGCAGAAGAAACATAGGGAGCTGCCTGCTTGCAGTTTTTTAATACTTAAAGCGGTATTAAACCCCAAACCCAAAATGTAATCTATTAAATTTTACCAATCATTAGATGTGGCGGCTTCAGTTTTTTAGGTTTTTATCCCTTTGTTTTCAGTTGGTGATCCCCTCCTGTATTGGAGTGCCTCCACTCTGGACTAAGGAGCAAAGGTGGCACCTTTGGACAGTATCAGTAGTAGTCTAGGCATTGGTAATCTGGGGGAGAGCAGATTTAGATATACTAACAAATTGAAACCAAACTCCAGCTCACACTACAGTTACACAAGCAGTTACAGCATCAAGGATAAAGGTTTTACATGAATAAATAAAAGCTGATCATTGTGTCTGTCAGTGGTAAATGGTAAGTCTCAACCTTGTTACTGATACATCTGCAGGACAGCTTGTTCTGTTGAAAAACAGACTTACTGGCCAGATCATCAGGTGAAAATAAATAAAAGAAAGTGTAAAAAAAGAAAAATAATGCTGCCATCACATCGAAGAAGTGGTAAGCTTCAGTATAATAAATGATTGCTTTTGGATTTAACACTGCTTTAAGCCACTAGGACAGTCTCTGTAACAACCTCAAAGAGAAGGAAACCACTTAAGCTATTAAAGGCCTCAAAAGAATTTATTAGTCAATCCAACTGACAGATCCATCTATCCAGTGTGCAAACACGATCTATTTAAGTGAAAAAAATGTATATATTATACAAAAAAAAATATATTATATGAAAACATATATAAATTTAATTTGGATACAGTGTTGCATGACCACGCAATTACCAGTTAAAGTAAGGCAGTGCTAAAAGGCAAATAATGGCCTGGTCATGAAGGGGGTAACACCTTCCGGAGCGTAAGTGGTTATTGTCAGCCCACTGAAATTATAAAATGTGTTGTTTTGTGGGGCTCTGATGAAGGTACACTTTGTGGTCCATGGGCACATACAGAGCCCATTGTAAATGGAAGCACAAAAAAGGCATGTTAACGTGCAGGCAAACAATGCATATGTGCAGAAGGTGTGAATGGACACTAATGGTTTTTGATGAATTTCATTTTAATATTTTTTAAAATGTGGATAATTTATATAAAATCTTTAACAAATAAATACCCATTACAGAATGATCCCAGGTTTGCAGTTCTCACTCTACATTCTATTAAGAGCCCAAAATTACCTGCAAATGGTACAAAAGGTGTCCATGTTTATGGGTAACTTTCACCATGTGTTTGTTGCTGGGGATTCCCCTCCAGTAACAGCCATGTTCTTCTGAGGTTGTTCTACTAATATAGGAGCCTGCAGACTGTTTTTACTGTTTACAAACTTTCATGAACTTTACGATGTGTAGAATTGAACTATTGGCACGAAGGTCATAAAGACATGCTGTGTGTGTAGACCTTTTGGCCCTTTTCTCTGAGCATCTTCAAGTTGTGTTGCAAACACAAGAGGTGGGAGGTAGACATGTCAGCAGATGACAGACGCTGTTGTGTTCCTCTGTAATGCCCTCTGTATTTCTCGGTTGAAGAGAATGTCTCCTCTGTGCCTATAGAATGATGTATGGTAAAACAGCTGTTTTCCTGTAGGGATAAATGGTCCTATTCAACCACTTGTAAAATTCCTCCAGCAGCTCCAATGTGCTAAATCCACATTTCTTTCTAAGCGTACCTGTCACACACTGTAGAGTCAGCCAGTTTATCACTTGATCTATTTTCCAAAGAAAGAAAAATATCTTATTAAGGCCTTTTGTGATCAGAAAATGTGTGCTTTTACAGCATGCAGGCAGTAGTATGCCTTTTCCTGACAAGCAAGTTGAGAATGTCTTAGGCAGCATACTGTTCAAAGCAGCAGAAAGTGCCTTAAGCTGCCCATACCATGAACAAAACTGATGAACTGTTGCCACCCTCCCTCCTATGTCGCTCAAATCAAAAATAGAAGAAGCCAGGTGGAGAATTGTAGGCTGAACAGTGTCTGTATCCAGTCAGGTGCTTCTGCTGTTCAGGTATGTTGACAGCTGGCAGGGCTGGCTCTCAGAATGCAATAATTGTAGTGGGAGATTTGTCCATCCAAGTTGCATAGGATGGATGTCTGAATCTTTTTTTTTTTTTGTTTGCTTGCAGACTGGACAAAAAAAAAATCTATATGTGTAAAGCCAGCTTTATGTATCAAGTTGTTTGTGTTGCTTTGTGGTAACCAATTTGTTTCCTCCCTTTGAATTGTAATTTTTTTTTTCTCTCATTCAAACTTTTTTATTGAAAGCTGTAGCATGTGTACATTGAAAACATGCATGATAAGAGTAGGGCCGAGCAAAGCTCCACGCAGGGAGAAATTAGCGACGGCCTAGATCACAGAGAAGTTAGTGAATAGAATTTCAAAACACAGTGAATCTAGTATGTTAAAAAGTTCTCAGCTAAAATCAGACTGATAAATAGCAACAAAGACCATGCAGACTGAGTGGTCGCTAAATGTCCCTTCCTAACCAATGCTCGGGGCAGTTGGTCAATTAGTAGATCCAGAGTAAAGAGTAGGAAAAGAAGAGATGGGAGGGATTTAGGGGTGGGGGAGGAGGGTATCCCTGGATTAGGCTGAAAAGTGACCCAGCGTTCTGATATAAGGATCAAACAGTATGAAGGGTCAAGGCTCCAATAGGGTTATTTTGAAGTCAGGAGGAAGAAATTTATCTACCCAGGGTTGCCAATTCTTCAGATTTGTGCGGATTCTATCCTGCAGGGTGGCTTCAATTTTGGCATGTATCATTGCTTGTGTAACTCCAGTATTTTCCAATAGTTTGCTTTGCTGCCATTGTGACTTAAAGTAAATCAAGCTCTGGGGTTATGATTCAGCAAAGCAACCTGAGGGTTGGGTTCGAGTGATGTACCAAATAAACAATTGAGGATTTGAAAGACCTTTAACCAGAAAGAGCTCACCAGGGGGCAGGCCAGCCAGTAATTTTTTTTTTTCTTTTTTTTTTTTAATTGGATAGATGAGGGTATTTTCAGTGTTCCTTGGAAGGTGAATGAAATAGAGAGAGCCAGTGAAGGAGGACATCAGGCCAGGTAGAAGCATGGACCACTAAGAGTGGCAGGTGGGCTGATGGAAGCAGTACAAGGAGGGCTGGCTAAATATTGTCAATCACCTTAAGATAGCCATAGACGGTTCGAAACTTGGCTGGTTCAGCAGGGACTGGCCGAGATTCAAACCATGTATGGGCAGGCTGAATGTACCCAAGTTGATAATCAACTTTGGTACAGCCAGCCTGTCGGAATTTACATGCGAATATTGCTAGCTAGAGCCGTTAGTAATAATTACTGTGTTCTCCCTGCGGGGACAGCTCACAATGGCTCAGCAGGAGGGATTCCCCCATCAACACTGTGTTGATGAGGGAATCAAGTGATTTTCTTCCCTGCAACCTGTGGTTGTAAGTAAAAATTGCTCCATATGTGGCCGGCTTTAGAGTTGCAAATACATTGGCAGTAGTGAGTCATAGTAGGCAAAGTGGAACAAAGTTTACAATATATACAGAGAGTGAGTTTTCCAAAAGCAATCTTGACACCTTGGCAAGGAGGAGAAAAGCAGGTATGGCAACATTTAAGTGGACATACAACCCCCCTGATCAAGGCTGTTTCCACCTCAGGGGTTAGAATACCCTTATTGTTTTCCCATGTCCCCAAAGGTAGATTGACCCTCTCAGTTTACCCTGGTGAACAACACCTGGACAGCAAATAATCTTTCAAAACAGAAACCTGGTGACAACTGCGTAAGAGGAAATATTCAGGGATACACACACAAAAAATACTGCCCTGAGTTCTAGCTTTTTCCTACTCTTTCCCAAATTTAATAAAAAAATAATATATATACACACACACACACACACACACACGTATAGTATAGTTTTGTCTGTAGACACAGCTAAAGGGGTTTCCTGTTGTAGTTTTCTTTGTTAGATGGCGGGACCATTCCTTCCAGCATCCAGTTTTTTTTTAAAGGTCAGGAGCATAGATGTCAGGTTTGATTAGCAGCAGAGCTACTGGTAAAGACTGATATTTAAGCTTGTGCCTTCTGAAATATTAAAATGGAACTCCAAGCAAAACAGCTGAACACATGGCTGAAGTAATATAAAGATTCCCCTATAGAGAAGAGAAATAATATTTATCTGTCATGACCATGATGTTTGCTCTGCTTAAGAGTTATGGTGCCCACAGAATTGGGTGACAAAAGTCACGTGTTGTGACGTAACGCTTAGGGTGGGCGATGACGTCAAGCCGCAAACCGGAAGTCTACGTGCCGCCATTTTGCAAGTGGGATTACAGCAACTGAACTATCTGCAGATCACTGTATAGTTGTTATGATCCCAGGCGGAGCCTTCCGGCTGCCAACTGATAGACCAACCCAGAGCGTGGGGTCTAAGCCCGGGCTGTGCCTTCACCAGGGCCCCTGATGGTGGGGATGGACTTGAAACAGTCCCGGGCCAGGTCACGACCTCTGGGCGGGCCCACCAGCGGCTGGGAAGGCCTCCGGGGATGCGTGTAGGTACCGGGAGAGCCAGATATGAGGCGGATGACGGCCCCAGCAGGGTGGCACGGATAGTGGTTCCGTGGGGGGTAAGCGGGTACCAAATCAGCGGGCAAGGAGTAGTCAGGTCACATGCAGGGTCAGCCAGGTAAATCAGTCCGTAGAATAGTCAGGATATCCGAGTCAAAACGCAGGAGCAGGCAGAGTAGTCAGGACAAGCCGGGTCAAACACAGGGGCAGGCAGCGTAGTCAGGGTTGAAAACAGGGTCACAGAACAGGAGCAGGTATCCAGGATCACATAAGACCTTGCGGCAATGGGTGACAGTGCAGGGCATCTTTAAATAGTGTGCCCTGCACTGTCATTGGCTGGCTGGGACGCGCCCCCGGCTGTCATTGGACGCCTGAGGCGCGCCCTCGACTCTCTACTGCGCATGCGCGGCGTCCTGTCAGCCGCGGCTCGCCGCCAGTGCGCATGCGCGGGGGGACGGCGCCGTGATGCAGGATTCCGGCGCCGTGATCCCTGACAATAGTGAGTTTTTACACTGTTGCGTCTCAGGAGGACACATTTTAATGTGAGTGCAATATATATATTTTTTAAATAAAGGCTGGTTTGGTTGTACATACTACACTATATTCAGCATTTTTTCACTACATGACTGCGGAGTGGATTAGATTCATACAAAATGTTGGCAAAGAGTGAGAAGATATTGAACCTTATATATACTTGCCCGGGTTAAAAGGGAAAAGTGTAGTTTGACCTGTCATTATGTGTCAAACACTAAGGTGAGCGCATAAGTGTGTTGGAGGTGGAGGAGCACAATGGGGTGATACAGAAAAGCACTGTACACTTGAATATAGAGGTGTGATTACACCTGTTCACATAAAGCCATCGTGGAATACATGGGACTATTTATCACGATTTATGTTTTATAAAGTATCACAAGCACTGCGGATATTACGGAATATATGTTTGTCTATATATATATACAGTTTGGAATATATAACCATGGAGTATGTTTGATCAGTTCACATATATGCGGCCATGCGGGCTGCATTTTGCACGGGCACAAGATCCCATTCATTTGAATGGACTCCCATGCCTGTGACACGCAGGGAAGAAGTCCCTGCACTTCTTGGGAAAATGCAGCCCGCACGGGAATGTCGGTTCCCAGTATGGTTTGCATTTTCCAGTGCGGGCAGCGTGCCATTAGAACTAATGGCACCCACCCGCGGGTCCGCATTTCTCTGTGCGGCTGCACGGATTTTCTTAAAGATCCACAGCAGCACCACCCGCACAGATGTGAACCTAGGGTAAGTGTTCACAAGCACTGTGGAGCATTGTTTCTATTTCACTATCGCTGTGTAGGTTTATAAGTGCACATTCAATAGATTTAAGGATTATTATTTGACATAAGATTATCACTGTGTTGATATATTCATGATTGTGCCCACAGAATTCCCTTCATCCAATAGGTGTCAGATTCCTGATCTTCCATTGATTGCTGCGGTTCCTTCTCTGGACCGCTACATTGTTACGGAGGCCAGAGGGTTAAAACCTTTTAAGTTTTTATTGCTGTCTGTGTTTTCTTGGCCTGACAGTTCTTCCCTTCATTTCTTTCTCTGGTGTTAAACGGACAGGAAACAAGGGAAAATTCCTTTTACTGAAGTAAGGCAGCAATTATAACTGGACAGAGATTCTATCCCTCCCCACTCTATCCATAAATGAAAACATTTCAATTAGAGTAGTATTTTCTTCCTACAATACATCTAAAATGTTAGTAGATGTGTTGTACTGTTCAAAAAGTCAGCTGCCTACTGCATAAGTAGAAATCCGGTCTTAACTTAAAGCGGAGTTCCACCTAAAAAAAAAATGAATAAAAGTCAGCAGCTACAAAAACTGTAGTTGCTTAGTTTTAAAATACAGCCACTTACCTTGTCTCTCGGTCCCGCGGTGTCTACACCAACACTGGTTTAACTGGCTGTCTTTACTGGCCATTTTTTCTCCCTGGTGCAGGCGTCTTCAGGGGAGAGGAGAGAGCAGTGACACTGGCTGCAGTGCCTGGACAGTGACATCACCCATAGACTTCCCATGGGGCATCCGTTATCTACTTTCCCTCCTTTCCCCTGAAGCCGCTGCTATGAGCTGATCTTGTGACTGGACTAGACCGCCCTTAGATTAGGTAAGTTCACACATCTTTCCTTTACAGGCCAGTTAATATAAGCATTGGAATGGGGGTGGGTACAGGTTTAAGCTTAGATTTAGACCGGACTTCTACTTTAAGACTGTTAAAGTGTGAATTGTGGGAAAGAGTAAAACTGGGAATGGTTGGTTGTATTGCAAGCTTACCAGCTGTATGCATTTTATCTCTGTATAACACAGTGTGGCATAACTATTGCTCTATTGTTAAATTTTGATAGAAAATATGAATTAGGTTTCACACTTTTGGCTTCTTTCTTACAGTGGAATAAAGCCGTTGAGCTTGCCAAAAATCACAACATGAAAGAAATAGGATCACTGCTTGCCAAGTATGCCTCCCATTTGCTAGAAAAGAACAAAACTCTGGATGCAATTGAACTTTACCGCAAAGCTAATCACTTCCTAGAAGCTGCTAAGCTACTGTTCAAGGTATGTAATCGCCCCATTTTAGGTCAGCTGCAGGCTGTAAAAAATTGCGCTTAAAGCAAACCTGCATTAAGAGAAATATGGACTGCATTTGCTGAGCTCTCCTTCTGAATATTCTATTTCTTAGCTGTTGTGCTGGCCCAGTTGTTTCAGTTCTTTTGAATCACTGACCTGCAGATAAGGACTTTTGATGCTTCTCTGACTTTTTGGATATGACTACATGTTCTAGGTTAGCTAATGGGTCAGTATAATGACCAGGCCATAAGTATTGGGAATTGGCCAGCAATGACAGCCACCATTTTTTTTTAATGAAACACTCTTAGCAGGTCAAAGAGGATACTGCACTGTTCTCAGCCTTAAAGCTGGTCTCCGGGAACCACTGCTGCAAGGGGTAAATGCTTGTTTTTCCCTTGGATGCCAGTAAAATACTTTTACTTACCTTATCCCTTGCTCCCCCAGCAGCTGGCGCGCTCTTCTTTTTCATGCTCCAGGTTGTGGACAGACCCACAGTATCCTCAACTGCAATGCAGGACTGATGGTCCTGTATTGTACGTGAGGACCTAACAGCTGCAACCAACAACCGGAGCATGATGCTTTGCCAGGCTCTAACTACAGCTGTCTTCAGTTGTTCTTTATTTGTGGGTTTTTCTGCCTTTAGTTTTGCCTTCAGCAAGTGAAATGCATGCTCAATTGGGTTGAGATCAGGTGAGTGACTCGGCCATTGCAGAATATTGCACTTCTTTTCCTTCAAAAGCTCCTGGGTTGGTTTTGCGGTGTGTTTTGGATCATTGTCCATCTGTACTGTGAAGCGCCGTCCAATCAACTTTGCTGTATTTGGCTGAATCTGGGCTGACAGTATATCTCTAAACATTGCAGAATTCATCCGGCTGCTTCTGTCTTCTGTCACATCATCAATAAACACCAATGACCCAGTGCCACTGGAAGCCATGCATGTCCATGCCATCACACTGCATCCACCATGTTTTACAGATGATGTTGTGTGCTTTGGATCATGAGCTGTTCCAAGCCTTCTCCACACATATTTCTTCCCATCATTCTGGTACAGATTAACCCCTTCACGCCTAAGGGTAAAACAAATCTTAGCGTTTAAGTAAAAATTTACAACTTTGACATGTGTTAGTAAAACCGTACATATCACAACTACTTTGTACACCCAGGCAAATTATACCTTGTTTTTTTCAGGACAAATTGGGCTTTCATTTGGTGGTAAATGGTAATGGATATCTCCCAGATTTTTTTTTTTTTTTTTTTTATTATCAAAGGAAAACTGGGCCAAAATAGTAAAAAAAAACTTTTTTTTTTTTTAAATTTAGCTGTTTTTTTTTCTTGTTACTACCATAACTTACCACCAAAGAACAACCTAAAATAAAATTTTCAGCTCTTGACAATCGAAGCCATACTATATATGTGTATGGTATTTTTTGTTTGTACTTGTACTACAGCCCAGAATCAATAGTGCACATTTTTTATTTTTACCTAAAACACACTGACACTGATACCAATTTAAACCCCCCCCCCAAAAAAAACTCCTGACCTTTGACCTTGACCCAAACACTAACCCTGGCACTGAACTAGATCAAACTTTGATCTAAGTATTTCTTTTTTCTTGATTTTTTTTTATTTTATTTTTTAAATATTCATGAATTTATTTATTTTTTTACAGTTTTTTTTTTTCTCTCTGCAAGGAGATTGAGAGATACAATTAATCTCTCTCCTCCATTCAGAGAGAAAAAAACCAAGGGGGCAGGGCTTCACAGTGACTGATCACTGTGATAGCCATTCAGAGGCTATCACAGCGATAATGTGACCCGGAATCTGAAGCCCCAAGACCCGATCGTTAGAACGGGACCCAGAAACTCAATGACACCCTGGTATTGTTGCTAGGAACGCGCTGTGCGGCGTGGTTCCAGCAACAAGACAGGTACACAAATATGCGGCCCCACGGAAAAAAGCCCAGTTCTGTGAGGCGGCATATTTGTGTGAAGTCATCGGGAAGGGGTTAATCTTAGTTTCATCTGTCCAAAGAATGCTTTTCCAGAACTGGTCTAGCTTTTTTTTTTTTAGATGTGTTTTGGCAAAGTCTAATCTGGTTTTTCTATTATTCAGGCTTATGAATGGTTTCCACCTTGTGGTGAATCCTTTGTATTTGCTCTTGTGAAGTCTTCTCTTGATTGTAGACTTTGACAATGATACGCCCACCTCCTGGAGAGTGTCCTTCACTTGTGTGGATGTTGTGAGTGGGTTTTTCTTTACCATAGAGAGGATCCTGCGATGATCCATCGCTGTTGTCTTCCGTGGACATCCATGCCTTTTTATGTTGCTGAGCTCACCAGTGCGTTCTTTCCTCAGAAATTACCATACTGTTGATTTGGCTACTACTAATGTTGCTATATCTCTGATGGATTTGTTTAGTTTTTGAATCCTTACAATGGCCTGTTTCACTTGCATGGGCAGTTCCTTTGAATGCATGATGTAGGTTCACAGCAATGGATTCCAAATGCAAATACCACACTTAGAATCAACTCCACACTTTTTACCTTCTTAATTGCTGAAGAAATAACGAAGGAGTAGCCCACACCTGGTCATGAAACAGTTTTTGATTCAATTGTCCAATTACGTTTGGCCCCTTGAAAAAGGGGGGATGGCTACTCTTAAGAGCTGTAATTCCTTTTCTCCAATTTGGATGTACATACCCTCAAATTAAACCTGAGTGTGCGCACTTTCAGCCCATATCCATTATATAACTATAGCTTAAATATGTTTTGTTAAATACCTGAAAACAATCTAAAACTATGCCCACTAGAGGATGTAAGGCCCTCAGGCCACCCACATGAAGTCTGTTTCTGATTGTTTGGTCAGAGACATTCACACCAGTGGCCTGCTGGAGGTCATTTTGTAGGGCCCTGGCAGTGCTCATCCTGTTCCTCCTTGCACAAAGGAGCAGATACCAGTCTTGCTGATGGGTTAAGGACCTTCTACGGCACTGTCCAGCTCTCCTAGAGTAACTGCCTGTCTCCTGGAATCTCCTCCATGCTCTTGAGACCTTCTGGCAATGACACGTATTGATGTGCCATCCTGGAGGAGCTGGACTGCCTGTGCAACCTCTGTAGGATCCAGGTATCGCCTCATGCTACCAGTAGTGACACTGACCCTAGCCAAATGCAAAACTAGTGAAAAACAGTCAGAAAAAATGAGTAGGGAAAAAAATGTCAGTGACCTCCACCTGTAAAACCATTCCTGTTTTGGGGGTCATCTCATTGTTGCCCATCTAGTGCACCTGTTGTTAATTTCATTAAGACCAAAGCAGCTGAAACTGATTAACAACCCCCTCTGCTACTTAACTGACCAGATCAATATCCCAGGAGTCTAACTGATTTGATGCTATACTCTGATTAAAAAGTGTTCCTTTAATTGTTATGAGCAGTGTATATGGACCAAACTGTATTTGTTTTCTTAGGCACTCCATTGGCTTGTTGTCCCCACAGGATTTCTCATTCTTGTCTAACATTTACAGCCATTGCAAAGCCCCTCCATGCTTGTAAATTTCACAGAGCAGTTGATGATCGCAGCTAAAAAATGATGACACATCTGATGTGGTCCTGTGGGAAGGTGCAGGGACAAACAACGACTGGGAAACCTCATCACTAAATCTGCAGGAGATATTAGAAGTCACCCAATACTGCAATTTGAGTATTGTTAGGAGCTGGACTTTGTGACAAATTTACTGAATTTATGAGCACAAATGCATCAATTTGTGCTTTTGGGGAAGTTGTTAATTTGTATTTTGGAATTTTATTTATTATTATACAGTATTTATAAAGCGCCAATAGTTTGCTCAGCGCTGTATATTACAAAGGGGGACAGAACAACAACAATACAATGCAAAACATGAGGGGATCGAGGGCCCTGCTCTTTGGAGCTTACAATCTAGGAGGGAGGGGATGGTGGCACAGGAGGAGATAGCTGTGGGGATGGGGTGGTAGGAAGAGTGGAGGAGGTTGTCAAGTTAGCAGGGGGTGCGGTAGGCTTCCCTGAAGAGTTGGGTTTTCAGGGTGCACCTAAAGGAGAGAGGAGAGTAGGTGATAATCTGATGGGTTGGGGCAGGGAGTTCCAGAGGATAGGTGACACCCTGGAGAAGTCCTGGAGGCGGGCATGGGAGGAGGAGACCAGGGAACTAGAGAGAAGGAGGTCTTGTGAGGAGCGGAGTGTGCGTGCTGGGCGGTACTTGGATATTAGGTCAGTGATGTAGTTCGGGGCAGTATGGTGGACAGCTTTGTACATCAGTGTTAGGATTTTGAATTTGATCCGTTGCGCAATCGGAAGCCAGTGGAGGGATTGGCAGAGGGGGGTGGAAACGGAGCGGTTGGAAAGGTGAATGAGTCTGGCAGCCGTATTCAGGATCGACTGAAGCGGGGATAGCCAGCGGCGAGGCAGGCCAGTGAGGAGGGAGTTGCAGTAATCAAGTCGTGATATGATGAGGGAGTGGATGAGCTGTTTAGTGGTTTCTGGGGTTAGGAACATGCGGATTTTGGCAATGTTGCGGAGGTGGAGTCTGCACGAAGAAGATATAACTTTTGCGTAGCTAAAATAATGTGGGTCACATGCACGGTTTTCTGACTTCCAAACTTGCTCCCTATGACTGTATAAAATGTTGTCTGGTGATGGCATTTTTCTTGTCCCACTGCAGTCCTGACACTGCTCTGATGGCCCATTAATTATAATGTTTCAGTATTTGCATTTAGATAAGTTAAATCCTCTGTTAGATTTTTTTTGTGCCTGAACAGCTTTGAGATTTGTTTTGATGGGAATTGTCGGTATTACTGGAGAATTATCATGTTGACAGCAATAAATCCTCCATCTATTTGCATCGTCTGGGAACACAATGTAGCAATGAAGTAATTCGTTGTGCCTAATGCATAATATTATCAAACGGATTTTGTTGCTATAGCTTTTACATGAAGCTCAAGGTAAGAACAAGGCTT